TGTGAAATTTGAATTTATTTGGATGGGGATATTTTCCATCCTTTAAAATAACACAGGATAAGAAAGAAGATTTAGGAATTTAAAGCATAATATTTAATATTTATAGGTATGACTATGGTTTTTCCCTCATTTTTATTCTTTATACCCTGTGTATCACCATATTCCATGATAATAATGAGATTGGGGCATGAACATGTACATGTTAAAAGAAAAATTTGGGGTGCCTGGGTGGCTCAGTCCGTTAAGTGTTTGACTCTTGATTTCAGCTCAGGTCATATGATCTCAGGGTCGTGACACTGAGCCCTGCATTAGGCTCTGCACTAGGCATGGAGCCTGCTTAAGATTCTGTCTCCCTCTCCCTCTGCCCCTCCCCTCCTTCTTGTGCATGCGCACTTTCTCTCTCTCTACAAAAAAAGAGGGCACCTGGGTGGCTCAGTTGGTTAAGCATCTGCCTTTGGCTCAGGTCATGATCCCAGAGCCCTGGGATTGAGTCCCATGTTGGGCTCCCTACTCTGTTGGGGTCCCTGTTCCGCGCGGAGTCTACTTCTCTGCCCCTCCCCTGGTGCATGCACTCTCTCTTTCAAATAAATAAATAAAATCTTTAAAAAAAAAGTCTTAGTCTCACTTTGACAGATTAAAATAAACTATATAGCCAAATAAAAGTGTATTTAAAGATGCAAATGATACTTTCATGTAACTGTAACTGTTTATACAATTTTGCCCCGGGAATTTCTCATTTAAATCTATAGCTAGAGTTTAAAGATAGGCAAATAGATGGAGAGACAGATAGATGTTAAAAAAAAAAAAACTGATGTAAAGAAAATATTTTCATGTAAACAAAATCATGTTAACTACTGGTAATGTTTGGGAAAGAAAATGTTCTTCTTAAGGTATTCCTTCAGTTTTGTAGGCATGGGGGTAGGCATCTTCTAAATGATTCACGCTCTCTATAACTTCTTGCTGCCATGTTCCCAATTACGTCAGCATAGTTTTGGCTCACAGGAAAAAAAAAAAGAAAGAAAAAAGGGGGGAGGGAAGAGCTAAGATCATTGAGTTCTTCCTATGTGCTACTCACTGACTTCTTTATTCATAAAATCTCACCTAATCCTTCCCATCCAACTTGAGACAGGTATTAGCCTTATAAAGAGGACAGTGGAGATAAGGAGAATGAGGACACTGATGCACAAAAAAGAGGGTCACTTGCATATACTGTTAATGGCAGAACCAAGGTTTTAGCCCAGGCAGTCTCAATTTTCAGCTCAGGCTCATAACCACTGTGCTCTCCACTGCACTCCCCAAATGACATGATATTAACTAGAATTTAATGTGGTTGAAACAAAAAGATCATCAGTTAACAAGGAATGCTCCAGCACAAGCTCACTTCTTGCTGTCTCTGACCACACTGAATGACAGTTCCTTAGGTTTAATATTCAGTAGATGATATCTGGCTGCTTTAATATCTTTTTTTGCATTTTGTACCTTCTATGTGAATGTAAACCATTTAGACCAAGTAATAAAGAATAACGTAAAGATGTATCTGCATAGCCCTAGATTTGATTCACCTTGCCTGCTCACATTTTTTTTCATTGTGCTTAAATAACTTCAATACTTAGGTCTTGTTACTTGCAGTTGAATGGAAGTGTTAATTCATGTCAGAATAAACTTATTCCGTCAAGAAGAGAACTACACTTATAAATACACCACACCAAATCTGAATTTTTCACTCCAATACAATGTTATCATGCAGATAGGCACAGTTTAAACTTCCTTTGTGAATCTATTTCTCAGTCTATGTATTAAGGCAGACAATATTTTCACAATGTCATCTGAATATAAAATTATATAAAACTGTAAAAATATAGCTAAAAGTTCTGCTATAAAAATAATGCCATTGTTAAACATAATGCAATTAATAACTGTAACAAATCTCAAGTGAGTTGCTTGCAGTGTGGGTGTTGTGGTATTTCTTGGTGAAAAACTGTAATTTCCTCCTCTGTGGCATTTTTTTTTTTTTAAAGATTTTATTTGACAGAGAGAGACCACGAGAGAGGGAACACAAGCAGGGGGAGTGGGAGAGTGAGAAGTAGGCTTCCCGCAGAGCAGGGAGCCCGAGGCAGGGCTCGATCCCAGGACCCCGGGATCATGACCCAAGCTGAAGGCAGACGCTTAACGACTGAGCCACCCAGGCGCCCCCCTTCTGTGGCATTTTTAATATAATTTCTTCTGTTTCCAAATGAAGGGAATGGTTCATCTTTGAGACAATGAATTTTGGACTAGGTTGGACTAGGAGCTAATCCTCTTTGGTTCCCCTAAACCAAAAATGACTTATACAGTGTATGAAGTTTTTTCTATTTCCATGTGGATAATACTTTTCAGAAAAAAATATTTTGAAATTGCTCTTAAATATGTTTAATCATGGTATATAGTTCAAAATTGGTGCCTTTTCCTTTCTGTATTATTGGTTAATAAAATATATCCTACTTCCCTTTTTTCCTTTCCTATGTATACCATTTCTATAATTGTTTGATGTTTGTGATCTATCTTGAAAACGTGCTCTCTTGACAAACATTTTTTGATTTAGCCTAGAATATGTGTGTCTAAATTTTAGCTTATAAACCATTCTCTAGTCTTTTTTTATTTGAACCTTTGTTTAAAAAATAATTTTTCCTCATTATTTACCATGTAAGGTCTGGTGTTCAAAGCTCTCCATGATTTAACTCAAACATATCTATCTGACCATATAGTCTACCACACCCCTTGCTGTATCCTTCACTCTAACTAAACTTGACCATTTGCCTAAACTTTGACCTTGCTTTGGGTTTGGGTTCCTGCTGTCCCCATTGCCTAAAATGGTTTTTCCAGACACTGTTACTTGCCCCAGTCATGCCCATTGTTCAAGATTCATCTTAAATGTTACTTCCTACAATAACCATTCTCTCTAGCCAGAAGTACTATTTTCCTTCTCTGAATTTCATAGTCTCGTAATATTATAGTGATAATAATGGCTAATAGTTGTAGAATACTTACTATCAGTCACTGTTCTAAGCAATTTGCATGTAGTAACAGATTTAATCCTCACAGTAACTCTATGAAGTAGGTATTACTTGGTATTATAATGGTATTAGCATCATTATATGGATGAAAAAACTGAGGCACAGAGAGGTAAGGTAGTAGATACAGGATTTGAACCCAGGCCTCTGGCTCCAGAGTTCTTGTTCCTAGCCATTATGGTCCTTTGTACACTTCCCTATAGTATTTATGACATTCTCTTTCACACATTTTATTGTGCATATTTTCTCACGTTTGCTTAACTATAGGATAGCTTCCTGTTTCAAGAGTCAATGATTCCATTTTTCTTGGCTTAATTTTGCTGGCTCAAGCAAACCTTACTGGATACTTGAATCACACTATTTCACTCCTCTCCCTGCAGCTGCTTTTCCTGCCCCAATCCTGGAGCTCAGTTTTACTGCTGAGCTTTAGCTAGTTGGAAAAGCCTACATTTTGTACATATGCTAGTGCTTTTTCCCAAAAAGTTAGTAACACATTTCCTCAAGAGGACTCCATCAATTTTCTATTGAAGAAAATAGAATCAGTAATATAAACAGCCTCTGTTTACTGAATGCTTGTTTTGTGTCAGTCATTAGCTATTTTTCAGATACCTTATTGAGCCACAGCAATGTGGTGAGGTAGTTTTAACTATCTCCATTTTACCAATGAGGCTCAGAAAGGTCAAGGAATTTCTTAAGGTCATATGAGTAATGATAGAACCCATCTCCTACTTAGGTCTGTCTACCTCCTAAGCACCTAAACACTAGGCTTTGGGGCCTCTCCTAGTATTATTATACAGTTAGTATTTGGCGAGTAAGTAGATACAGTTAATTCTGCCCAATGGTTCAACTAGCTGAAACCTCTACCCTCATGCCACAGGGTTGAGAAGTTTTCCTTTACCATGCCTCACTCTTTTTGTTACACTGCTGTTGTGGCTATGTTCTAAGCTACAAAGTGACTGATGAGAAGACTTCCCAATGTGATAGGTCATTGGTCCTCAACTAGGGGAGATTTTGCACCCTCCATAACAGGGGGACATACGGCAATATCCAGGGACATTTTTATTTGTCACAGTTGAAGGTGGGGAGGCCAGGGATGCCATTAAACATCCTATAATACATAAGACAGCCCCCACAACAAAGATTTGTCCAGCCCAAAATGTCAGTAGTGTGGACACTGAGAAACCCTGTGTGAAGCTGAAATTAGACTGCAAAATTAAACATACTAGAGGTGGTGCTATGAAGTAGAGGGGACTGGGAAAAATAATATGATAAAGAAAGAGGGATCCTGCTTGGGCTGGGATGATAATATGACACAAACTGAAGAGCTTGATGAACTTAACTCTGTATGTGAGATTAAATGACAATAACAGCAACAACAACGGAAAAAAAACAAAGAAAATTGAAATCTGAAATAATTACCGATCCTCTGGGAACCTTATTAGCTTACTGCAGAACAATTAAGTTTTCTCTAAAAATGGAGCTGAGAAAATGGGCAGAAGAATAGCCATGCCCTGGGATGTAGTACCCATGCATAATCTGGGAACACTCTTTCTCCCTGTGGTCAGCTACAGAGCACCCCCCTCCTCCAGTTTATGATCACCAATTCTTCGTCCTTAGAGTAAATAAATTAGTGCCTTCTGTATTGGTTCTTGGTTCTTAAAATTGAGTTTCCTACTTTCCACTGGATATAAAGTCACACAACAGACCAAGTCAGAAAATGTATCCTAAAAGGCTCACAGCCAGTATCTCAACTTGATATTCAAGAAAGAGGGTCATTCTACTAGCTATATTTCATGACAAAGACTATGTATAAGAAGTATAATTACAACTAGTACTGTATTACAATAATGTAAAAAACAAATGACAGTTTGTGTTGATATTCTCTGTGACCACCCTTGTGTAAACGTCCCAGAAGAAAAGTCATGAATATACATATTTTTAAAAACTTACAGTATATGGTAGGCATAACGATGTCACTTTCCATCTCACTGACAGGGTTCTTCACCAGGCAACTGTAATTCCCAATATCTTCTTTGGTCACTGGAGCAATATGAAGGGTATTGTTTTGCAGAGAAAAGGAGGTGGTGGAGCTGGTGTGGACAGGCCTTTCATTTTTTAGCCACTGGTAAACCAGCCGGGTGCCCCCTTCCACAAGGCATGCCAGGGTCATGTTGCCCACATACTCCACAGCTCCAGAGGAAGGCTGAGTTTGTACAACTGGTTTTGTGACAGGATCTGCAATATCAAAAGAGATGGAAATGGTTTTTGACACCATGGAATTATAATACAAGTCTGTGTGGTCTTTCAAACGTCAAATCCTGGGGAAATGATTCTAAAATTTTACATTTTTGTAGATGTACACGGTTCAGAAAATGAAGAAGAGAATAAAAAATAATCAATGGAAAATGCAAAATGATAAAAATATAAAAATATCATTTATAGCAGAGATAACCAAAATTCTAGAATGTACTTTTCAAGGATTTTCTAATGAAAACCTTTACTTTATAGATAATGCAGTTAGTATAGAGAACACCAACTTCCTTATTTCCTGTTCATTGTGCCTTTTCCCACATCATAAAGGTATACTCTCACAGGCAAAGTTTACATGGCATTCCCCTCTCTTGATTTGTTCTAATGTCCCAAGAATAGCTGCTTGGGGTAGATGAACCTAAATTTTTATCCACCATCTGTAAAATATAAAGCTCATATATATTACACTTGTGGAATATTGAGGGAAAGTTTTAGAGAATCACATTTTCAGCACTTACTTTTCTTTCTAGGTAAGTGAACTAATTATATGTTTTAATTGCTGTGCAATTGCAATATTATGTTAGCCACTTTACAAACCAAAGCCTACATTTCAACACTGATTCAATTTGAAAACAGGATAAAATGTGTTATTGTGATTACATCCCATTAGAGATATAAAAGACAAATCCAACAGTAATTCCCGTTGGAATTTCAAGTAATAGGAAAATAGTTATATCTCATGAATCTGGTACATGATACTATTTGTCAAATGAAGAAATCTCCAAGAATGAATAAATATTTCCTCCCTGAGTTTTAACTGTAAAATTATTGGGTAAGGGTTGAAATTATATAAGTATCCACAAATATTTTCAGCAAACTTCATTAATCTTTGACGTTCTCAGTTCTGTTTGATAAAGGACAGTGACTTGACCAGAGTTACACAGCAGTCAGTGACAAAATGAAGAGGGCTTTATATCTGGCAATGTTTCTCTCCTGCATTTTGGAGACATATATGTTTAATAATTTCCTTCTATGCATCATCACAGGACACACAGAGAGTGAGATGATAGATAAGTGAGAAATGATTGGCTCAGATATTTAGATTTCAATTTCCTATCAGGCTTTAAATTGGGGTTGATGCATCTCTGAAGGTAAATTCCTCTTGACTCATGCACTCATTTTCCTACATGGAAAAATGTGCATTGGGGAATAAACAGACCCAGTCCTTCAACCCAGGGAATATAGGAGAAAATGAAAAATAAGAAAAAAGGAAACTGAAATAATCTGCAGGGGACCTAAGTAGTTCTGAAGCCTTCAGTTTTTCTTAAGATGGGTACAATCAACTTGTTCGTTCAATTTAATCTTTTAGAGTCCCTGGCAAGAACAAAGGATGTAGAATAGCTTTTGTTTACATTATTATGATTTAAAAAGAAAAAATGAGTTGTGTACATTTATTACACAGGAAAAGCTTATGTTTCAAATATCTCTCTGTGTGGAAACAGATGTGGTATGGGAAAGAAGTAATGTCAAAGGTCTTTTATGGGGAGAACCAATCAGAATAGGCTGTGATCATATACCTGCCTTAAAGAGTGTGACTCACATGTGGAAGTTTCCCAGGAAGATATTTTACATAGGCCCTAAGCCCTATTAAGACTTTTTAGCTGCATTTTGCCAAACAGACCCAATTTTACTAGATATTAAAATGTAATGAATATTCCATTAAGTTTTGGGGAGAGATAGGATACTACCCAGGAGAATTTCATGAACATTTTCTCCTTTTCTCTTTTCACAGTTGCTCTATAGGCATCTGCTTCCATATCCTCTGCCTTTGCTTCCCTCAGCTTTTCTGGTCTCCACTCATTTACTCCACACACACTTACTGAGTGCCTACTAAAGGCCAGCATCGGCTTTTAGGAACTGAGGACAAAGCAGCAAACAATAAAAAGTCCCTGCTCCCATGGACCTCATATTCTAGGTGTGGGAGGGAAAAAATAATCAAATAAAAATATATAATATATCCAGGTGGAAATAAGTGCTGTGAAAAGAATAAAACAGAACTCAAGATAGATAGTAACTCTCTCTATATATTTGTTTGGGGGAATCTCTCTCTCTCTTTCTTTCTCTCTCTGTTTGGGGGAATGAGGCTATACTTTATAACATGGTCAGGAAAACCTTCACAGATAAAGTGACATTTTGGCTGAGACCTAAAGGAAATAGGGCAGGGAACCATGCTATTATCTAGGAGAAAAGCAGTCTAGGTAGACTGAATAGCAAGTACAAAGGCCCTGAGGTATAAGTGTGTTTGGCCTATTCTAGGAAAAGCTAGGAGGCCAGTGTGGTCACAATGGAGTGAGTGAGGGGTGAGGAAGGTAGGAAATGGGTCAGAGAGATGCTGAGTATGCTGGGAGGGATCATGTGGGGCCTTGTAGGAAATTGTTAGTACTCTGGCTCTTATCTTAAGTGAGATAGAAAGCCATGGGAGGGTTTAAAGCTGCAGGAGGTGGGAGTAGAAGCAGGAGACCGGGTAGCAGGCTATTAGGGATAGTCCAGTTCAGAGCTGGTGGTGGCGTTGAGAGAGGAGGTAGAGGGGGTGGTAAGAAGTGACTGAACACTATTTTGAAGGTAAAGCTGACTGATAACTTGTGGACTGGATGTGGGGTGTGAGAGAAAGAGGGGGTCAATGGTGATGGCAAAGTTTTCGCTTGAGCAACTGATGGAATGGTGTTGGTATTTACTAAAATGGAGAAAATTTTAAGTAATAACCTGTTAAATAATCAGGTTTGAGGGGAAAATCAGAAGTTGGGGTTTGGACATAGTATATTTAAGGCATGCTACTTATATACCTCAATAAGGAAAATAAAGGTCTGAAATTTAGCTGACTCCATAATCCCTCAGAGGACATTTCCAGCAACTTCTATTGTTCCTTAAGTACAGTCCTTGAGCAAGTCTCATCCTCTCCCAAACAGTGTATCAAAATAAAAGTCTTCATGTGACAAAAACAGGGCTCTTCCCAGGGTGTGTTCTGATACTGAGAAAAAAAATTCCTCCATCTTACTGTATCAGCAACTTTATCCTTGATAGTTTCCAGGCAAACAAATTAAGTTCTGCTTATTGCTTGATTACCTTTTGTTGGCCACTATGCATGTACTTTACATGCATGTCTTATTTAATATTCAGAAAACTTTGTGAGATATATAATGGAATTTGTGCCATGAAACACTGAGGGTTTTTTTTTTTTTTAAGATTTTATTTATTTGACAGAGAGAGAAAGAGAGAGCACAGACAGGGGAAGCAGCAGAGGGAGAGGGAGAAGCAGGCTCCCCAGTGAGCAGGGAGCCCAACTTGGGGCTTGATCCTGGGACTCCAGGATCATGACCTGAGCTGAAGGCATATGCTTAACCAACTGAGCCACCCAGGCGCCCCGAAACGCTGAGGTTTTGAGGGTTAATTAATCTGCCCAAAGTTGCATAGCCAGGACCTAAAGCCCAGGTAGTCTAATCTCCTGAGCTGTTACTAACTGCCATGCTCCCTGCAGCCCAGGTCACTTATAGTGGACTCACCATCAACGGTCACTTGTATCTTCTGACTAGCTGATAGAGTTCCATTTCCCTGAATGTTGACCTTCACGATGTAATTGCCTTCATCAGTGAACTGCAATGGGTTGATGAGCAGAGACGCATTGGGCGGCATCATGGTGAACTTGTGTTGGTATTCCAAGTCAGGAACCACAGACTTGTTCACGGAGCCCAGTAAGTATTTGGGCATCGTGTGGGGTCTCTCAAACAGCCATATGATCTGGATGTCTGATGCCACAGTGTGGAATCCATAGTGCACAGGGAGGTAGAGGGCCTGGCCCCTGATGCCATGAACAGTGTGTGAGGGCACTGTCACTTTCAGCCCCGAGCAAGCGCCTGCTACAAAGGAAAGGAAAGTTGTAATGACCCTGAACCACATTTCACAATCTAAGGGGCAATACAGAGAGAACCTGATCGGGTGATAATGCTTACAAAGGAGAGAGGCTTCTAGGTACTGAGCATTCTAGTACCTGCAGAGGTAAATATTTGTCCCTTAAACCTTCTGCATTTAAAAAACTCCACCCAAAGACTATGTTGATTGAATGGCTTCTTTAAAGGCATGATGAAAAGGAAAAGCAGAAGTTATTATCTATGGCTGTTAAAGAATAATGGGAAAAAGAGAACTGGGAAAGATTGTTAATTCTAAAGTCCAATGAAACCCAGAAAAATTATGAAATTGTGTTTGAATCATATCATATCCCAATTAAACTCTGTGATTTGAGAAACACTGAGGAGCTACTTCCTCCTCAGAATCTCTCTCCAAAGTCTTCTGCAATGGCTTACTAGACCATTATTGGAAGTTTTCCTCTTTAGCCAAAGGCTTGTCACATGGACAAGTGTGGTAGTAAAAGATATTGTGAGAAAGGCTGGTGGTGCTAATAGGATTTGATGATACATTGGGGTGAAATACAAGAAACAAAGAGGAGTCAAGAATGATTCTAAGGTTGTTGACCTGATCAAATGGAAGAATGGTTGTCATTTATTAATGGGCAACTAATAACCATGGGGAAGACTGGGGAGAAGAGATTTTTGTGGGGCAGATTAGGAGTCAGTTTTGGACATGTTCATTTGAGATACCCATATGACATCCATGGGGCAATACTGAAAGGATATACTGGGCATGAAAGCATGATTAATGTGGGTTTAAGACAGAATGAGAGCCTGGAGGGCCTTGGGCCATGGAGCTCTGCCCAACGCATGGCCCTGGCTCCCAGCCTCCTGCCTGCCTGTGTTGTTTGGACCCATGCACTCACTGCTATGTCTGCAGGTTTCTTCCTATTTTCTGGCACCTGGAGATTTCCATACCTTTACCTTGAGCCATGATATATATTTTAAGTTTTAGCACTTCTATGTATTTGCAATTAAGAAGAGACTCCTCCTTAGTTCAGACTACCATGTTGCTTGAATCCTAATTAAAAACTATTTGCTTTGGCATCATTTTAAAAAGGAGCAAGATACTACCGACAGCATATGAACATTTGAAATAGGGAGAGAATGGGAGGAATTTAAATGTGAAGTATTTTAAACATTGAAGGAAAAAAGAAAGAATGGAAACTGTAGACAGTGAGTATAGACAATACTTCTGGGGAGTTCTGCTGTGAAGGGGAGCAGAAAAATGTTCTTTTCTTTCTTCTCTATTTCTTTGGATGGATGCTAAACAGTATGTTTGTAGCTACTGAAATGATCCACTAGAAAGAGAAAACTTGATGAAGCCAAATACAGATGAGTGAAGGTGGAATAAAAAAAAATCCTAGGTAAGAAAAAATGGAAATTTGGGCACAAATAGAGATACCTTACAATTTCAATTTTCTCATATAAAAATGTTTATTTTCTTTAATTGCTTTCCCTTTTCATCCCTACTAGAAAGAGGGTCTTTAAGCTTTACCTAAGTGATGTTATAAAAGGCCATCAATATTAGGAAAGGAAAGGTATAAAGGTCTGTTTGTGTGATGATTTCTTTGGAGAAACTGAAAGATGTAGTCTGCCACTAAGAGGAATCAAATTCTACCAACAGCAAATCTCTCTCTTACTTTCCAGGCTGGAGGTGAGAGTAAAGATTTCCATCATTTTGGTCCTCAGTTAGCTATTAGTAGAGAGTGAGACCTGGGTCTGGCAGATAAGTTAGAGAAAAACTCAGGAGAAAGCAAAAAGATGAAGATCACAGGAGGTTAGAGGGAGAAGGAACTCCCAGATGTTCACCTGAAACTGACCGTATGGACTGAGAATTAGGTGACTCTATGGGCAAAATAAATATGTGTCTTATAGTTTCCTTGGGCTCTGTGTGTATTTGTGATGGACTCTGTAATTTTTTTTCCTGATAATGGGCTGTACCTGTACATTCATTTTAGTGATTTGGTTCATAACAAAGGAGTTACAAAGGTATGAGGATTTGCTTCTGTTTTCTGGCAAGTGCAAGAATGTTAAATTTGTAGTTGTTCCTAGTTTGAATCATTAGAAAAAGAAGGAACTCGTGCTGGGAATTCTAAAGCAGAGATAAAATGGATTGCAGAAAAGGAGTAGTGGTTTCTGCAAGGAAATCATAAGAGAGAGAAAAAAGAAGAGAAGGTAAATCTAGGACTTAAACCTAGTAATGTCTGTGAAACAGGGGCCAACAGAAGAGAGTAAAGTTCTTCAAGCCACAGACTGAAAAACGCATTGGGCATTTGGATGAGGGACCAGTAAAGGAAAAGATTCCTCTTAGCATATGTGTTATCTGCACAAAACAACATGCATCTACATGCTCTTCATTGAAATTGGGGATAGGAAGCTCTGGACAAATTCCTGGTAAGCAATAAATAAAAACTTGTTTTTTAATACTCATTATTACTAACTTAAGATAACTCAAACATAATTTTCACTGTATTTATGAAGTGTGTTGCTGTCTCCTTTTATATTTCAGTGAATATGGAAGTATTTATGAGGTTTCACAGTTCACTGTTGATCTTGGACTTCCTTGTCCTACTGTCACCATTTAGTCATTAAATTCATCACTTGCAAATTGCCTTGAAATAAGAGATTTTAGGAACCTAATCTCTAAATTTGCAGAGAGATTTCTGTATTTGACACTTTGATAAAGTTAAAAATTGATGAAATGCAAGGTCTTAGTAAAGGACACACCCTTGGGATAAAATGATGATTGGCCAGTTAAGTGGCCTTAGAAAAGTCATTCTAATTCTCTGGACCTCAGTTTTCTCATGTGTGAAAGGAGGGTAATATTAGATGAGGTCTAAGTCTCTCTCTACTATTTATGTTTGTTCTTGACATCCTGAGGTGCTTTTCTCAGGGTAGCACCTACCTTACTTTTAAAGGTGAAAGGCCCATATTTAATTGAAAGGGCCCACAGAATTTTGAAGTATTGAGTCTCAGGTTTTAGTCCACTTAAGTCACAATCCCTGGATGTCCTTTAGTAAGGCGGCGACTGTGTTTTTTTACCAAGGAACCATGGGGGATGGTGGGAATCTACATCATTGCCTTGAGAATGCTCTGGAAAAAGTTTCATGGCTGTTGACTTAAAACTCGGTAGTTGCCTTTGACAGTGAGCTATAGATATAGATGGCCTGAATGCAATTCTGGCCAATCTGTTCTTGTTTGGGGAAGTCATAAGTCCTTGTTTAGGGTCTTTTTTTCCCTTTTGTTTTATTTTTTGGAAAAGGGGAAGAACTGTTTTTCATCTACCTTTTTTTTTTTTTTTGGTAGTTATAGTTTAAAGATTAACTAAGATTTTAGTAGTCAGAAAATGGTTGGGAGGCACTTTACTACTATGTAGTGCTAGCATGACTAGAAGAGAAATGTTGGTGATTTTTGGATCTTGAATCAGAATGTTGAATCTTAAGCATGAAAAGACTGATTGGAAAGTCTATGATTGAAGTTATGGGAAGCAAATTTTATTTAATGCAAGGTTAAGTACAATACAAATATTGCAGCCCAGGAATAATGAACTACTTTAGAAGAAAGTAACATTTTATATGGCACTTACAATAATTGTTTAAGTGGGGTGAACTAGTTCTTTGGGCTATTTCAGAAATTGTGTCATGTAATAATGCCTTAAATAATACATTGCTATCAACATCTCTGAATGTATTCAATGTTTATAATATCAAATCATATGAAATCATATCATTTAATTTTTTTTCAAATATATGTTTTTTCAAATATACGTATGACAGTGAGAGAGAGCACAGCTATTACAATAGCTCTTTCCTTAGATTGCCTATACCATTTTATCAGATAAATTATAGATAGCAAGTTATAAGAATATCAGCAAAGATTGTAATTTTCTTTATAGAGTATCTTTATCTCAGCTACAAAAATTTTTTCATTTTGCAGGAAAGAACCTATTGATATGATGTAATCCTTACTTGTAGTGAACTTTGGTCTACAGATGATTAGATACCTCCTCTACATCTTAAGAACACACTCTGTTTTCACTGTTGTATTTTGCACTACAGATGTGATAAACCTATGCTCTCATACGGTACTGTATTAACTTTAAAAAAATTAGTTTCATTTTGAGAATTTTTTAAGCTCTCTTTTCTAGTTGTATGAGAAAACCTAAAGAACTAAAACTATTGATTTTAGGAAGTCAACCTCTGTGTGAACAAATAAACCTTAAGAAAATAAATTTTAAAAATTGATGAAATTTAATTTCCTTTTGATATTCCAAATAATTGGACTTAAATAAAAATTCAATTTTATTATTAGAGTCACTAATACCTACTTTTTAAATATAAAAAAGAAAAATTCTTAGGCTTTTTGCATATAAGGCATTACATTAACTTGAAGAAATATTAATAATTAACATACAACATTATAGCAATAATCTCCCTTTTAGAGACTCCCTTAAACTGTCTAACAACAGCACTATAAACGAATGTCCAGTGTTTAGAAACACTTGAAGTCATACTGTAAAATTTATCTATATTCCAGAAACAAAAGACTCCCTAGACCAGTTTCACTGTATTGAATATAAACATCAGACTTCACAAAGTGACCTCTAGCTGTACCTTAAAATAGTTGGCATTTACTTCCCCTTTATCATGTATGATATTAGCAAGCATAACACAACTATTGTTGACTGAAAATAAACTCCTGCATCTTCAGAGAAAATAGAAACTATGAAGTTGTACTTTGAATAGCCTTTACAAACTACATTTTGGGCTTCAAAATTTTTAAGATTTTTTTTTTTCAAAAAGAAAAAAAATCAGATATCCAATATTCTAAAAACAAAGAGATTTCCACATTACGTATGATCTTTACAATACACCATCAATGGAGAAAAGTGAATTTGTGTAAGAAAGACTTAAGGGATAACCATTTTAACTACTTAGGAACATGCTATCTATTTCTATGTATTAGTAATTTTAATTTTATTTTAGCCAA